CAGACTGCCTCTCCCCCAAGCATCCATTACCTCTCGGGACAGTTGACTCAGTCCACCAGCTAGATTAATGATGAAAGGAATGTGGGTTGGTGCATGAAATGACTCTTCTATGTGATTGCAGTAACAAAGAGTATTGTGCGACTTTTCTGTTTGTTCAGCATGAAAGCTATAATGAAAAGTTAAATGCTTGAGCATAATGGTGGGTATATAATTTGGAGTCCCCCCGCAAAAAAACATTGCACAATTCCTGGGGACCTATAACTTCAAACAGTAATGGGCAACCTGTACATGGAGCTTCAATTTTATTTCATGCAGCCTTTAGCCTAATTTCAAAAGTCATATGCCACACATATTATCATAATTCTGGTAAGATCCATCTGTCCTTTCAATCTGTTTGTGTGAAAGAAAAGAGGATGGCAGAAAGAGCAGGGGTGTGGGGAACAGCGTCCTTACCTACTTTAAGCGCTTGTCCTACCCACTACTTGTTTCATTCTCATTTGTGTGCCTCCCAGTTGATTACCAAAAAAAAAAAAAGGTTGCTCACATTTGAATTAAATAGTTTCTTTGCCTTCTCAATCCATCTATGCTCAATAGTTAGCCAGGTATTCTATTTGTGCTGAATCAAGATTTTCAGTTTTTTCATGTTTCAGCTACTACAATCATCTACTTGAGGCTGTGTTTGAAAGCAGCTTAGTAATTGGACTTGAATAGAATATGGCAGTTCAGAACCTCATTGGAGCTATACAGGTGCTGATTCTTAATACAATTGTTCAGATTGCTCTATGTATTTACATGCCTTCTATTTCACTTGAGATTTGCTAGAGATCTTGGCTTAAAGCACCTGTTTGATTTTATTTTGGAAAAGGGTTCCTTGGTAAGAGCAGCATAAAGACTTGACAAAAACAAAATTTATTTCGTTGGGTGTTCTGTTTCTGTGTGCATAACTGAATTAAGGAGAAGAACTTACATACTGCTGCTGATTAAATTCTGGATAATTTCTCCAAGATAGTAGAATTATGCCTTGCATATCTAATTAAAAACCACCACCTTGCCTGCCAACCCACAAAGGCTAACTTTTCAATTTGCCAAGCCTGGCAGCAAAAGCAATGCAATTATTAAATATTACGACTTCTGCTAACGGCAGGACAATAGCTGCAAGCGTGTTTGCAGCAATGCTTCATTTCTAGCCTTCTTCCTTTATTAGGCAAACCTGCAGAAAAATAATTACTATTTTCTTTTCACTGATCAAGACATTCACCAGTTATTTCTGAGTATGAAATGAGGGATGGGGGAGAGAAGGGCAAAGAACATCCTCAAGACCTTTACTAAGCTATCTAAAAGCCAAATTAACAATTTATTATAAACACATTAAATATCATTTTTATCTCTTTAGAGAAACATTGATATAGGGAATGAAGAGCTTCCAAAAGCTAGGAAGGACATAAAGGAAACCTAGATATGGAGATGGTAGTAGTTGCTCAATTTTTCAATCCTGTCCCTTTTATTTCCTTAGTTTTTCCTTTGTGAAACAGTGTAGGAGAAATTATGGAAATAGTTATCAATGAATTATGGAAAGCATCTGGATGTTTATCCATGTATTTGTTTGTTATGTAGATTTTTTTGTCCAGAAATCCTGAAGAAACTCATGATCCTATGAACATGTTCCAAAGGCAAATAAACACTCAGGGTAAGTCCTAAGTACGGAGTAGATAATTAACTAGTTAACTGTACCATGCACAATGTTTAGCCAGTGCATTTATAAACATAGCTTTCTAAACACACCCCTTTTGAAACAAAATTTCTACTTAAGGTAGATTCTACTTTTCCAGATTAATTTAGGTCATCTCTTTATTACACTTTCCAATCCTGCTTTACTCATGTTCAAAAGTATCATAAAACCATTTTTAATCAATTACTAGCAATCAGATATGCTTTATTGCTGATTGGAGAAAACAAGCATGAAACAAAAAAAGGCAACCTAATTATTGCCATCAACTTCTAACAATTAAACCTTCTGAGCTCACATTATCAACTTTTTTCTTTTTAGAATCAAGGATCAAGAATCCAAAGGGATGAACTGACTTCAGGTAACTAAATTGCAGGCAATATGTTCTTGGGGAGCAGAACCATTCCACAGCATTCACATTGGCCCAGATGTCCTTGTCTGGAGTTTCCCCAATATACGCATGGAAAAATACATGCACTCTCCCTCAAATTACTCCTACACGGACACCAAGCCTTCTCCAGGATTTTGCAGAAGGCATTTTAATGTATGACTGTACTACAAAAGAGCTATTTTACCAGTTTTGTAGAACAAAGGGATTAGCCCTTCACTAGATATGGTATAAATACAATGTGTGAATGAACAAAACATCAGCTCAGATATTCACTCAGAAGGAACGAATTTTTTTCTCTGTTTCTTGTTTTTCCTTCAGGATAATTAAAATGACAAAGGAATAGTCTTATCTAGATATGTTAACTGAAATTGTGTAAGATGATAAAAATGCACAAGAGCATATTATGAACTGATCAGATCACAATGATTAATCTGAGCTGTATCTGTTTCTATCATTGCTTAAGTCAACATTTGTTGAAAGAAAAACGTCAAAGCACAGTGATTTCAAGTGATCTGTGAGAATGTAAGTATTTCTAACTAGAGCGTACAGAACTCCAGTGTAATTGGGCAGGAATGAAATGACTTCAACTTATCTGCCCCACCCCCCACCTCTTAAAAATTAGGGCTTAGAAAAACACCTTAAAATGTACATTTATGCTTTTAATCTCATTTGCATTACAAAATGTTTTTACAGGCAGATGGATTTTACTGTATCATTTTATATACAATTGTCTAAATGCAAATACAATATGGCTGATATACAATATTGAGATACAATACCTGATAAATCAAGGATGAAATAGGATTTGTTAACAGAAATTACCATGTAGTTATATGAGTGGGGGTTGTAATTTAAAAATGTTCCTATGTAAGAATCCCATCCTGTCCCAGTAAGAACCATTCTAGCTTATTCCTAATCTACCATCCACCATAACTGAACCTGATAAATTCACACTATCAGAAAGTTCTAGAAAAGGTTTCATTGTTCACTTTGCCTTGTGCATAGAATTTTACACTCTAGGTAATATCAACTCCCATGTATAAATGGTTTTTGCATGACTTCATATTTTCTTCTGTAAGAGTTAAATGCCTTTTGACTGGTAATAGTATTAAAACCACAGTATAGTTATTATATAGCTGAACAACTCTGTGACACTTGGAAAGGCTGTTGATTGTTAATTATTTTTCTGCATTGCAGACAGAAAAATGGTAAAGCCTGAGCAATAAATAAGCCCCAGATACAACCTCAGACTGTGTCTATTCTTCCCAGTGAACATTTTCTTTTTAGATAGAACATAAAAGAAATAAACAGGTTTTACAGAAGTTCTCTTTATTTTGACCCAAAAGCCATTTTATTGTTTGTGTAAAAATGCATTTAAGGTATGAAATTATACAATATGTTTACACAACTAGAGACTACTTAAAAACAGTATTGGGGAAAAAACCAACTCATTTTAAGTCAGAACATTTTTGTTTGTAAATTGTGATATTTCCAACTATATTTTTGTAATTTAATATGTAACATCTCAAATTTACCCATTAAGATTTAAACAAGCATTATTTCAATCTTTACCTCTTTCCAAATGACAAATTAAGGAGTACCATGGCTTTTAACATTCTTTTTAAGGGAGGTTTTTCCTATTAGTTAGTCTGCCATAGATGCACAGAAGTGGGATGTTTGCTTTATGTCTCACACATGGGCTCCACCCTGATCTGTTATGCTTCAGCATTGCTGTGTGAGCTGCATCAGCAGGGAAATCTGGATGACAACCAACAATTGTCTTTTAGAAAGAGGTTTGTCTGCTATTGACCTTTAATAAAGGAATCCCCAATTTAAAAAAATACAGACACCCTAAACCAGTGTTTCTCAACCTTGGCAACTCTAAGCTGCGTGGACTTCAACTCCCAGTATTCCCCAGCATGCTGACTAGGGGATTCTGGGAGCTGAAGTCCACACCGTTTAAAGTTGCCAAGGTTGAGAAAACTCTCCTAAACTTTGCACCCATAGCAATGAAGAAGCCTTAATATCATAATTAAATGACTTGCTAGTACTAGGCAGTTATAAAATGGGGGGGAGAGGGGAAGCAGAGAGAACCCATGTCTAAGCTACTTAAAAACCAGAAAGGGTAATAATGTATGTACAAAACTTTGCCAGAATATTCAAAGCACATAAGATACAGTGTAATACTAAGTTAAGTATTATCCCTATGTTACAACCACAGGGCTCAGAAATGAACAACTTGGCTTAAGCCAAGTGGCAATTTTAAAACCAAAAAAGCTTTTAACTGAAGAAGTCTCAGTCCATATTACATGCTTTTAATAAGTATACTGCATCTGTTCTTATCAATTTTATCTATACTGAGTCTGATTTTGAATTTATATTTTATATTATAACATTTCATGTTTACTACAATTACTTTTTTTTCTTAATTACAACTATTGGCTTTTACAATGACCATAACTTTTAAATTGCCAAAAATTGGACTTTAGTTTCAAAAAACCATTTGTAACACAAGCATTGACAAAGTCATGATATGGAGGAATAAATTCAAGCCTAATTGCCATTTTAAGACAATGTAGCATTCTCAAGAACATGTATTATTCTGGAGGGTTTTATTTTCTCTAACAGTTATGAAGAAGATACTCTTAAATTATAAATGTCATATCTCTGGGAGGAGGGGGAAGAGGCAGAAGATAGATGAATTACAACTATCCTCAATAGCTATAGTCACATAACAGTTAAAATTTACATGGAATACTACAAGTCACCCAATACTGCATCCTCCAGTTATACTGGACTAGAATTCACAGAATTCCCACCCAGCATTTTTGCAGAAATGATATATATGCCAAGCAAATAACTAAGTGTACTGTAGGTTTTTTTAAAAAAAACTTTTTCTCAAAACTTACAAGTAATCCATTCCCCATTATCTCTGGAAAAACAGAGTAAGAATGAAGCTTTGATAAAGTCATTTTTTTCTTGCTTCGGCTTAATCTTTTTTCATATTTTTTCATATTTATTTTGTCCTTAGTTTATAAACATATGGTTCAGCTAAAATTAGTCCAGTCTATCACATTAAAACCAATGCAAAATGCAGCTGCTATTAACTTGTTCCGCTGCTTTGAATATGGCTTAGTCACATTAAGTGATCATACATGGATAGACTGTGAGAAAACTCTATATAACATTTCAGAAACTGGAGTCAAGTCTGCTTACTAAAACCTTGATCTGTAATTTATTTCCTATTTTTCTGAGATGTTTCATTTTAATATTTAAGATATTAAGTGCACCAGAAGTAACAGCCATTTATGCTTTTATATCCAATTATATCAGACCTGGTCACTTTCCTATTGATGCACTTAAATGTTCATCATCACCATGCTGGTATTAGTTAACAACAGCAACAACAACACCTTTCTTTGAAGCTATATAACTTTGCTAGTAAATACAGGTTATCAGAACTTTTATTTATCTCTTATTAAAAGTTTAGTAAAATGTACCCAGACTCAATTATATTTAGAGCACAACAGAAATCAATTGGGTAAATTGGTTATAATTTTTCCCATTTACTTTAAACAAGACTAAGTCTAGATCCAGCTCCACGTTTAGGCTACACCTGTGAAGGGTGGGTAAAAAGATACCTTCAACTATTATATGCCTCTTGCCATTTTTTATGATTTCTAGCATCCTATAATTTCTCCAATTCCCTAACTATAGGCATATAAATATACTGAATCTATATTACACCAGAATAATGAGGATCATGTTTGTTCATGCATGAAAATTGCAGAGCATGACTCATTACATAAAATGGAGAGTCAGCATACATTGTCCCCTATCCAGTTTGGCTCTCTATTTTGCCTTTGATGAAAGAAAACAAAGTGGTGTCTGATATTAGTAGTTCCTCCACTCCCAAGTTTTACCTCTACTTATGATGTGATTAAAAATTACAGTAAACAACTAGCAGTATTCCTCAGGTGAACAGTAAGGCAAATAATACTGGTATACTTGTAATTAATTTAAAAATTTGGACAAAGTTGTTGCCTTTGCACTTTGCAAATTCATTTCTATGCTTGCTTCTGCAATGGCATTAAATACATCCCTTTATGCTAGCAGTACTGGTGTTTAGATAAGATAATATATATACTAAATCATTTCTGCTTTTCATTCTGTGTATTCTCTAATTAAAGAGATTTATTTAGGACCAACTTATTTTATTATATATAAGCAATTTCTTTCTTAAAAGATCTTTATTAGTCAAGAGAACAACATCCACATAAAAGAGAGACGCATTAGCAGGCTTAGGGGGAAATCCAAACTTTGCCACCACCACTCTCCAAATCCTAAAGAAGGTGGTAAGGCCCAATTATGCTCAGTGATCATGAAACACTGGGTGTCTACTAAGGAGAAACATATAGGAAAACTAGAAGAAAGGAATGGAAAGGCAGGCCCTGGGAAAAAATGTCATCTTATCACTGAAAACAGAAAAAATCTCTGTTTTCATAAGATGCAAGAAATTAATAACGGCAATCCTTGTCATTTCTTTCTATGAAACTAAAGATCTAGCTAAATTAAAGAAAGCTTGCTAACACCCAGGCAAAGATAGCTATTTTTAAAGCTTAGTCCCTAAAACAGCAAGTAATGCACCTCCTACAGTCATTTTCCCCAGCTGGATGTGATGAGGCTGCAGTTCCCAGAATTCCTAGTCCTCATGGTAAGCCTAAAAATTATGAGAGTAGCAGCCCCAGATGATCTAGAAAGCCCCAAGTTGCTGTGAAATGCAGATGCAAAAAAATAAAAATAAAATCTGGAAAAGCAAGTTAATTACAAATTGACTTAACAGCTAAAGATAGTCTAAAGCAAAACAGAACAACACCTGAAGTTTAGATATAGAAACCTTACTCAAACCTAATGTTAGGATGTACTTTTTGATTAACCACACCCATTAGAGGGAAAAAAGAAAAAAAGAAACATCAATCTGTTGTATTCAAGCTTTGAAACAGTATAGAAAGAGTGATGATTTTCCACCCAGTCATCTATTCTTATCTCTTCACGCAGGTTTCTGCTAATGTCCTAAACTTTGGTTCCAGCTGATCTAAAAAGTCAAGTGCCTCTTCTTCTTGCTGATCGGTGCAGCAGCCTACAGAGCCTGCTGGCGATCCTCTTCCTTCATAGTTATATGAAAGAATATAGTCATCTGAATGCTTATGCTCTTCGTCTTGTCCACACAGATATACTTTCTGCACAGGAAAAAGAAAAAAAAAGTCATTTGTTTTCTTAAACTAACCTAAACATATGCCATAAAATTAATTTCATTGATTTACCTTTTAATGTTTAATTTTTAATCAGAGTGTGTCCTCTAATGGGTTCCTATATATAAAAAATGCACATGATTGGTCTATATCATTCAATCTATGAAGACTGTAACAAAAAAAAATCAGATTCCTACTGATCACAAATATACAACTTATCATTTCTAAAGCAATTGACAAATAAAAGTTAAAAGCATACTTGTATATAAATTACTAATGCTACACTGGTGGATTATACGGGCTTAGATTTATTATTCACATTTGTACCTAGCCTTTCTATCACTAGGGCACTCAAGGAGGATAACAGGTAATTTTTTAAAAAAATCACCCATTCCTTTAGGTCAAAGAAAGAATGAACAGTATGACATGGGGGGACATAGCAAAGCAAACAGACATTACTAATCCGGAGTCCAAATGAACAATCTTTCTAAACAATATAGTAATTTATAAACAGACCAAAAACAATTTGTCTAAATCCAGAGACAATAAGGCAACTAAAAATCCGATTCTATAATACTATTCCATGTCACAGAATTCATTGAGATCCCAAATAATTAACCAGATTGTATCATCCCACAGGTGTAGATGGTTAAGTTTACTTCTAAGAGTACACGCCCAAGGAATTGGTTAGCAACCTTACCTCAGTCAGACGAGGGTGTGTGAAATTCTGCCATTCTGAATAACTGTATCTGTATGCATCCATCATGGTCTGCCCATATCCCCTTCCGGATTCTAACGTATGATGCCCTACTCCTTTGACAGATTCCAAGGTGTGCTGTCCTCCTCCCCTGACTGATTCCATGGTCTGGTGTCCTCCTCCTTTGACCATTTCAAAACATTCCTGTCCCCCAGTTTTTACTCCAGAAGCATTAAGAATAGCCCCTTGGTCAGAAGTAACCATGTTTCCTGTTTTTATTGGAAGTATGTTGGGATCCTTAAAGGGGAAAAAGTGGCAAAGCCTTTTTTTAGAATGTTTGGAGACAACATGATGAAGATTTAGAAATAATTTTACAGTCAATTTAGATATCAGCAGTACTGTGGAAACAAGAAATACAAACTGTGCCTCTTTTTGTCTGTTTTAGCTTTTCCAGTAGAAATTCCACTTCTCTATGTAGATTTTACTATGTGACCAATTCAATTAAGCATTCCTGAAGTTGCTTACTTGCAAGTAACTGTCATCTGTTTATCCTCCTCCCCTTGTGTATGACAGAATCTAGAGAGTTCTGTGGTATTAGGATTATGACATTCTTAAATGAACACATCTCATTTCTACTCAGGCTGCACAGATATTTGAATTCCTCACATGCCACCCACGGTAGAAAACCACTCTTGATTCAAAAATCATAATCCAGTGGAAGCTGAGCTTACATTTTCTCAATGCCACATGCATTCAGAAAACCATCAGACTAATGGCCAAGACTGAAAATGCTGCTCAGCATGGCCAAATCTATTTAAAACAGGACAGTATATGGATAAAAAATAAAACCTGCATTAGAAGGTAACATATTGTACTATTCTTGAGCCATTAAAATCCTTTTATTGAAACAGCAGACTCCTATTCGATATAAGAATTCTAGTTGATACTCCGAATATAAGAATTGTTTAGTGAGTTGAATAATATTTTAAGTGTACTTTTCTAATGTCAGCTAGTTAAGAACAGGTTAAATGTTGATTGCTGCCTTTTCCATGAAACTTCCTTTATCCTTTGATGTCTTATAAAGTTCTGATTTTCATATTAACTAGCAGTATGTTCACTTTCTTTTTTTTAAAAAGAACCATGAAATTAATTAATGGGAATATTACAAAATATTTATTAAATCCCAGCCACAAAGCTATGGCTTCCCCTCCCAGGCACTGTGGGGAAGGAGAATGATCGCTCTGCAACTGTCATCACCACTTCCATTTTCATCTCCAAAGTCCTTAGGAAGAGCCCAACATTGCATCAGTAGTGCCAATTGGAAACGTTGTTGCTGTTGATGTTGATGTTGTTGTTGTTTTATTTTTAAGAGGCTGTTTAAGGGTTTCTTCCTCCACTGCAAATTTCTCTGCCCCAAAACAGGATTCAGAATTTGGGAAGGCTATTTATACACAGCTGAAGTTTAAATAATTTTTAAAAACATTTTCACTCTCTCCATGTATCTTCTTCACTTTCTCCTTTCCCATATTGTCCTGTGACTGACTTGCATCTTTCAATTAACGCCTGGGAGAGAGGCTGCTTAGACAAGCTAACTCTTCCTATTTACTCTTGCAAGCTGTGAGATAACAAACTTCCAGCTCTAACCCCAATCAGATCATTATTTCTCTCTTTTGTCACATCAGGAGCCCAGTGTCTGCTAGACACTTAATCCTCATTAATATCTAACCTTCCTTTGCTGATGGCTAAACTGAGCAACTTTGGGGGTGAGGGGGAAAGAGAGGTTGCAGGGCTATAAAACTTGCCCAATGAAAGCAACCCCTCTCTGAGTTGAATTCCAGAGACCGTCCTTGCCACTCGGGTTCACTGTGGCAGATGGAGGAGTGGTTTCTGGTGCTGTAAGGAATTAATAGGGATAACTTAAATAAACATGATGCTGTTTGTTTTAGTCCTGGCACCCCTTTTAATATCCTCCTGCTTCGGTACCCATCCTGCAAATTCTAAATTAGCTGGCAATATAAGAATTTCAGAAAACACACATGTACTGACTGGAAGGCGACAAGCAGGCCCACATGGCAAGCATCATAGTGTGACTCACCATCACTTCTTCTCCAGGTGCTTCAGTATTAGATATGATTAAATTCTGATTGGCTAAATCATCACGAACATGCTTAGTACTAGTCATGGGTGCACCACCAAAACATCCACAAAGTGTGATCAGGATTACTAGAGAAGGACAAAATAAACAGTTGTAACAAGATATCAGCACACATTAGCTGTTATTAGTATTTATTACATCCGCTACTCATCAAGAAGGGTAGTGTAATCTCCTCTGCCTCCCTCCAGTACAGCCATTTAAGTCCAAATGCAGCTAGTCTTCGTTTAGCGACAATTAGGACTGGCAGCTCAGTTGTTAAGCAAAGCAGTCGCTAAGTGAAACTGTGACTGTGCTTATGATCTTACTTCAGCTTTCCTTTGCTTTACAGACCTGCAAAGGTCATAAATGCAAGGATTGGTCACAAAGTTACTTTTTCATCACTGTCATAACTGCAAAGAGTCGCTAAATGAGGACTACCTGTATTTCAATGGGAAAGTCTGGAGATTGAGTCATGGCAACTGGACTTCTCTTCTTTTTGGTTAGAGACCTTTCACTACTTGTCCAAGCAGCTTCTTCAGTCTGAAAAAGTTGGTTAGGAGGACCCCATCAAAGTCTTCCAGGGCGGCTATGTTTCTTACTAGCATGATAGGCTCATTGAAGGGACAATTAGTAGAATCTTTGAGATGTAGATATCTTACTCCTAATCCCTCATTCATCCCCAGGGGGATGTTAAGTGTTGCCTTCCTGGTGAACTTCTGAAAGGTTCTCAATCTTCCTGAGGACTGTTGAAAGGGCAGCCTGGAAAATGGGAGACAAGTTGTGTCTGAGGCCTCCACCTCTGTTGAGGGAAGGATTTTCCACTTTGGCATAAATGGATTCCTTCGCTCGTATCTCTAACTACCTATCTTCTCTGTCCAAAATGTGAACA